GGTCTAATCACATGGAATGATGACATTGTGTCTTTAGAGCAATTGAAATTGCCAAAAGGCCACAAGGATTCAACTTTAAGGTCAATGAACTGACCCCTCATCAAAATATTTGTCAAACTGATCTCTGGACGTTGAATTGTCCGCCAACCTTCGTATAAGTCATAGAAGACTAAAACTAGTCGACTGATGAACACTATGAAACTAGAAGGTCTCATCAATCAATCTTCTTTTACACATTTCAACTCTTGATACCTAAACAAGACGTTTACGAGATAAGATTTTATCTGTTCTGTAAATAAGCTATGGGAGTAAAATAATCGTCTCACGACATGGCTCCAAAGAAAGTCAGGCAGCATTATCACTCTCAATGGATTATGATATTTGCAATTTTGCGAAATAATTAGTCAGGATAAATATGAATTCAACTATTGAAAAAATATACTACAATCTCCACAAACCTTCATTCTAAAGTAAACATCTCCCGGTTTTTTGGTTAAATTATCTGGGAAGAAATAAAGCAACATTCGATATAGATTTTGGAGTAAGCCTTTCATGTGTGACTGACCCCATCTCTCCTGTAGAAGATTAGACGGTAGTAAATGACAAAGATAACCCGGTACATGCCATTTTCATAGATCACGATGAGGTCTTAATAAATTCTCTCCTCTAGGTATTGACCGAAAAGTTTTGCAAGCAATTTTGAAGTAAAAGACTTGATTCACGAACGTCATGGTCATAGTGTGCAGTGTAGAAGAGCTAAAGGTGCCCTATGGTCATGTGAATTTGTACACAGTGAAGTTCCAAACAGGACTATCCTAACACAGTTTCACTCTATATGATTGAGTTACCAGGTCGTAAAATCATCTCATCTATTGTTTGCAGATGATATCGAGGGATTGAAACCAATAAGCAATGTGACTGAGGTGGTAAGATTTCAGTAGGATTGTTTGGACAAATCAGTGGTCGTTGGAAGTGAATCCTAGGATAAGAACAGTAATGTCAGAAAATCACTCTGATGATTTTAACTACTACCCACAGTGACTGATCACACAGATTTAGGAGTTCTAGCAATTGGTGATTCAATAGCCTCAAGTTACCACAATGTAACTGTGGCTATGTGGTGTTTGGATTAACTAATGTTTTTATGTGCTTGTTGACTGCTTGATTTCGAATTCTAAATACAATACATTCGTTTGTGCTCATCTAGTACTTCTTAATTCAATCGCCTTATTTCGGGGATTCTTAGTTCATACTACAATTCAAATAATTCAAAACATCAAAGGTTAACATTTGCCGAGTCTTATGGGTGAGTAATGAAGACTTTAGTAACATGGACAAAGATATGTTAACAGTATTATTCACAAGATATGTCTTAAGGGAGTTGAGATATAGAATTCATGCTGCGAGTTATCCTATAGAATATGAAGCGGATTTGTTATAACGAGCTCGACAAACAGAGATAAAAATGTGAGGAATCATTCCTATCTATCTTATAAAGATCAAGGAAATAGATTGAGGTTCAAATGAATGTGGATGGAATAGAAGAAACTTTCGTTTAACAGACTTTCGTGTCTAGTAGCAGGGGATCACCAATAGCTCCAGGCAGGAACCTAGGTATATTAACTATAGTAGATTTTTATAAAAACAAAATTGGTAACTCATAACAAGATTTTATCCTTAGTTTTTAAGAATACGTCGAGTTTCCTCTTAAGAGACTCCTAGGAAGTCGCTTGGACTAGTTCAGTCGGCAGCGAATTCCAGCATTTGACAACTATTAAGGAATGGAAGTTGTGTCTACAGTCCGTTCTGCTATCTTGTATCTCCAATTCCTGGGTGTTATCCCTTAGGTTTGTGTTGATACTAAGCTTAAATAAATGTTTAAGGGGTGTTCGGGAATGTTAAGGATACAGTAAGCCATTAGAAAGTCACCTCTAAGACGCCTGTAATCTAATGGGCAAAGTTTAGGCGATTGGAGGCGTTCTTCATTAGGCTTGAATTTCAGTCCTCGAACTGATTTTGTGGCTCGCCGTTGGATACGCTCCACAGTGTCCTTAGCATTTTGAAGTGAGGGAGGAAATACTATACTTCCATACTCTAAATTGGGACGAATAAAACTGTTGAAGATTATGTGGAGAGTTCTACCGTCAAACTGGCCAAAAATGCGCCTCAACGTTACCAGTGCAAGGTTTGCTCGAAAGGCATTTTTGTCACAGTTAGCGTACGACTTCAAATCGTAGGGCACCAGGACTCCTCAGTCTTTTTCCACTCGGGTTACTACTATAGAGGAGTTTCTAAAGTTGTGACTGTAGTCTGCGACATGTCGCAGATGGACTACTTTACACTTTGAAGTGTTAAAGGTAATTCCGTTATCGTCTGTCCAACTCTGAAGTCGAGTCAGATCCTCTTGAAGTGCCTGTATATCCTCTCCGTCGCATATCTCCCTAAAGTTACACATCAGCAAAAAGTAATAAGTCTGACGACACCTGTTATGGAAGATCATTTATATATATCAAGAAGAGAAGAGGCCTTATTACTGAGCCCTTGGGGACCTCACTAGGACATCCCATAGTCTGAGATAAAGTGAAGTTAACCCTGATCTAGAATGTCGATTTTTCAGACATGAAATGAGCCAATCAATTAGAAGTGGTCTGATACCCAATAGTTTGAGCTTACTGATAAGACATATATGATTTACCCTATCAAAAGCTTTTGAGAAATCAAGGTGAATGATATGAACTTTCCACTTGCAATCAAGGTTGCTTGTCCACCTGTCCACGGCAGTCAGAAGGTTGGTTATACAAGAGTAACCCTTCCTGAAACCATGCTGTTGGGGTGATAAGAAATTTAAAGACAGTAAACAATCATGTATACTATCGCATATCAGGGACTCCATGATTTTCGAAGACATAGGGAGAAGAGTCACCGGTCGATAACGTGAAGGTTCATTGCGTCGACCTCCTTTGAAAATTGGTGTGATGTGAGCCAGCTTCCAATTTTCCGGTAGGTTTTCGTGCCTCTAGGTAACTCTTGTGCTAATGACAGAAGAAACCAGACAAGTAGTGAATAGGTCTTTTTTTAGATCTTAGCACAGTCACAGTAGAGCGTGGGATTATTTGTTCAGACAAAGCCTCTCGACATTCAGTATAAGATAATAGGAAATATAACGCCTATACAAAATAAGGAAGTGAATGAATACTCGAACTATACTGTTTTGACATATGCTTAGTTGTTTAAGATGAACTCTTAACCAACCAACCTAAGCTGTTGCAAGTTTACCTTGGTTTAGTGAATGTGAGAATACTACGCCACACGGTGTTGCCACGATTGAGGCCACTTCCCTCAGTATAGCAGAATGAACCATATCTGGACCAGGAGAAGCGTATTTTCTTAGGTACTGCAGTTTCCGAAACACCAAGTCAGCGCTCAGGTTCACTACGGAAATTCCTGTGCAGTTGCAGATGAAGCTGCCCCAGTATAGTTGATGTGAGTCGGTTGAAATGTCCGGGAGTATTTTTCAGCCAAAAGGTTAGCGGCGTCGCCGTCGTTGTTGGTCGGGCCATTAGGAGCTAGCAGTTGGGAAACTCCAGTTTTAGTTTCACGAAGAGAGGCTGCACAACGGAATAAGCTTTTCGAATTGGAGACAAATTTATCCATAAGCTTTATCTGGTAATGAAGCCTGTCTTTTCTTGAAACTTTCGTGCATATGTTCCTTGTATGTTTGTATTGCCTGTACGCTCCATTGTTGCCAGTTCGTTTGTATTCTGCCCAATCGTGCCTTTTGCGGCTTAGCAGGCGAAGAGTGAGGTTCTTGATGATTGTAGTTTGCTTGTAGCTATTTGGGACTGTTCGAGAAAGTGACTGCTTTTTAGCACATAAGAGCATATGCAGTGAGGAGTCCCAATGAGCATCTACGTGAAGTTGAGGATGAATATCCCAATCCACCTGTTGTAAATAGTCCTGTAGAGCTGACAAATTCAACCGTTTGAAATTCCAGCGCATTTTGTTGGTGTAATATCTTAGCTCAATTTTGTTGACAAAACTTAAAGCTATGACTGCGTTATCGCTTTTCCCCAGAGGAAAAAGGATTGAGAGGTTGTCAACTAGAAATTCTTCCTTTGTAATTACTCAGTCTAAGCGCGACGGTATCTGACTGTTTCTCAAACGAGTTAACGGCTTCACATTTTCGTTTAGTCCCAGGTCCTTAATGAGGCTGGAGAACTGAGCTTCAGTTGAGTTTTCGCCTCCATTATACGTATGCTCCGCGAAAATGACTCTAGGGAGATTGAAGTCCACTAGAATCAGGATATGAGTGAATCTGAAACGGGTTGAGCGGGACAATCCTTTCAGCATACGACTGTCATAATTAGAAGTATTCAAAATAATGTATTAACTTGGAATTCCTGAAATAGTGCAATTTACAGCAGGTAAAACTAGGTGAGCACAAATGAACGTAATATATTTAGAATTCGAAATCAGTGGGCCTTCAAGTGCAAAAGGTTCATTAGTTCATACCAATATCACAGTGTTTCAGTCTATCTTGCTGTAAAATAAAAGTTTATCAGAGGTTGGATTACTCTACACTGAATGAAAAAATTTTCGATAATCTATTGCGCATTTTTATTACACCTGGGATTGATGGTCTGAATGGAGATTCTCATACAGTTAAATAATTGGAGACTAAATAATCTACGTCTGAAGTTGCATTCGATGTATAATGTAATGAATGACTGGAATTAACTCAATGAACACATGATATCAGTACCTTCTTCAGATATATTCACAGTTTAGTGGGATTCACGCAGACCTACGAATCGCGAAAATTAACATTGATCACTTGTCTTTTGTCTATTTCTGTCTGTTATATATATATATATATATATATATAGGGAGAGAGAGAAAAAGAGAAAGTTAATCTTGATACGGTAGTACCAGACACAGTATATCGTTAAGCAGAAACTCTTCCCTTCCTGGCAAACGTCACTTGAACATATATGAACCTTATTCTGACCTTCATACAGGTTGCTAAGTTCGAATTCTCTGCGCAGTCATGACTTCAACGGTAGAAAGGCCGATATGGGATGATGTAGACGTAAGTACTCTAGTTAAGTATAATGTTTTTGATTCAGGAAGCTATGGTGGATGAAGTTATGCGCATGTCAACTGAAGAGTTAACAAGTAGAGCAAGACTGCTTGATTCCGAAATTCGTGTAAATCAACATGTCGTACCATAACGTTGTTTAGTTTATGCAATCTGAGTTAAAACACGTCAATCATGAAATAAACACGAAACAAACAAAAGTTAAGGACAGTAAAAGTAAAATAAAAATGAACAAGGCACTCCCTTACTTAGTAGCAACCGTCGTTGAAGTACTATCACTGTTTCCTTATCTTAATTCCCTTAGTTGCTAGATGTGGAGCCTCAGGAAGATGAGATAGAGGAGGGAGCAAACGTTGATCTTGATTCTCAGCGTAAGGGAAAATGTGCAGTTATAAAGACAAGTACTAGACAAACATACTTCCTACCGGTCATTGGTCTTGTACCCCCCGAAGATTTAAAACCTGGAGACTTAGTTGGAGTACATAAAGACTCATACTTGATCCTTGAAAAACTTCCGCCGGAATTCGACTCTCGAGTAAAGGCTATGGAAGTTGATGAACGTCCAACCGAGAGATATAGTGATATTGGTGGGCTTGATAAACAGATACAGGTAAGAAATTATTCACTCATCTTGACTTTTCAAGGAATTGATTGAAGCCGTTGTCCTTCCTATGACGCATCGTGATCGTTTCGAGGCACTTGGTATTCAGCCACCAAAAGGAGTCTTATTGTATGGTCCACCAGGTACAGGGAAAACACTGCTGGCCCGTGCATGTGCAGCTCAGACCAAATCCACTTTTCTTAAACTTGCTGGTCCTCAGTTAGTGCAAATGTTTATTGGAGATGGAGCTAAACTGGTCAGGGATGCCTTCCAATTAGCTAAAGAAAAAGCTCCAGCAATTATTTTCATCGATGAACTCGACGCTATCGGTAAACGTCACAAACTTAAATGTTCATCTATATTTTGAAAATATTTAGTCAAAATGACAAGCTCTATTTCACTTGTTCACTTAGGTTTCCTCACAGTTACCTTCTTAATATTAGAGATCATGTATCTGCTTTGGACTCCTTGTCCCATCGTTCGCTCTTCCAACCACTTCAGATTATATCATTCAGCGCTGTCGCTTGATTGCTTGACACATATATGCTTCCTTAAACGTCCCAATATTTTCAGTCTGTTAGTATTCGGATAGTTTATAAATTCATGCAAATCGGAAATCGCATCCAAAAGCTTGCCTTTTGTTGTATTATGGCCAATCATAATGTTTTATTTAGGCTAATATTGTACTAACTTGTCTTGTGTTATGTATCGTGTTTAGTCCGTGTTTCTGCTTCAATACATACTTCCTGGATAGTTATAATGTTATGTTCTTAGGAATGGATTCCTGGTTGTAATATTTTATACTAAAAATTCATCTTGCCATGCACATTGAGTGAAGGGGTTAAGATCATCAGGCAGAAGTGTGAACAGGACTCCTGTTAGACTTACTAAGCTTTTATAAAGTGACATGGTTGCAAATCCCATTCGCTTTAGGAGTGCATTAACAGTGATACTTTTCGACCAAAAACATCCACTTAGATCACAAACTAACTGGCATAGAAACTGTAAAACTTCATGTGACAGTATTTAGAAGCTGTACAGTTCTGCGATTGGTTGATACACCAAAGTGCATGAATCTCCAGACCTTTTTCGGAGGTAAAGGGTTTCTTTCTACAACGCCTCTTGTGTGTCTAGAAAGAACTAGCACTGGTTCTAGATTTAGGTCTCAAGACCAGTTCTGTCTTATTTCTGAATTCTTCATGTCCCTTTTTTACTCTTTCCAAATTTATTTCACTGGATTATACTCTTTAAATAACATCTCCAAACCCTAATCTTCCCGATTACTGCTTATACTCTTATTACCTCTACCACTACGGGATTTGAATCGACAACTGCATCTCTGTGCTAATGTGGTGTGGCAACTCGAACTGATGTACATACGTACGAAGTTCTACGTTGTTACTGACTGACTGTCTGTCTTATGGTTAAAAAAATAGACTTTTAGGTTGAACATTCATCAAGTGTGTTATTGGATTATATAAAGTAGAACAGAAATTTTATTAATCAAGATTTAAATACCTTAGTCTTTTCTCGCTTGCTCTAATAACAGTTTTGAGATGGTGGAGATGTGTAGCTCAGGTGGCTAATTTTTAGTGGAGTTTCGTTCTCTGAGCTGGATGGTTTAGTTGTGGAGCTTTGATTATTCTTTTGAACACAAGCTTCTAACGAAAGAACAATGGAAGCTCCACATCTAAACCATCCGGCTCATAGAACGAAACCACCAAAAGTAACAATTTTGCCTTATGTTTATTCATATATCTTGCAGTGCGTACACCGGTTATCTGGTTGCCATTGAATATATGGTGTTTTATCTTCTTCATACCTCCGAAAGTCGGTAAAATCTGACAGACTTATTCATAGCTTCTGAAAAATCATTGCGAAACTGGAACAAAAATGATAAATGGGTTTTTCAAAAGTATTTATTTACTTACTTACGCCTGTTACTCCCAATGGAGCATAGACCACCGACCAGCATTCTTCAACACACTCTGTCCTGGGCCTTCTTTTCTAGTTCCATCCAATTCTTGTTCATTTTTCTCATGTCCATTTCCATTTCCCGGCGTAATATGTTCTTTGGTCTTCCTCTCCTCCTTTGACCTTGAAGATTCCAAGTGAGGGCTTGTTCTATGACGCAGTTGGGTGCTTCCCTCAATGTGTATCCTATCCACTTCCAGCGCTTCTTCCTGATTTCTTCCTCCGCTGGGATCTGGTTTGTTCTCTCCCACGGTACGTTGTTGCTAATAGTGTCCGGCCAATGGATCAGAAGTATTTTGCGTAGGCAATTGTTAATAAACACCTGTATTTTCTGGATGGTGACTTTCGTAGTTCTCCAGGTTTCTGCCCCATACAGTAGAACTGTCTTGACATTTCTATTGAAAATCCTGACCTTGGTGTTGGTTGACTTGCTCTGAGTTCCAGATGTTCCTCAGTTGTAAATATGCTGCTCTTGCTTTGTCGACCCGTGCCTTAACATCTGCATCAGATCCACCCTGTTCATCAATGATGCTGCCCAAATATGTAAAGGTTTTTACATCTTCCAAATCGTCTCCGTCAATTTTGATTGGATTGGTGCATTCTGTGTTGTATCGGAGAATCCTGCTTTTCCCTTTGTGTATATTGAGACCTATTGCTGCTGAGGCTGCTGCCACACTGTTCGTCTTCTGCATCTGTTGTTGCGTTTGGGATAGAAGGGCCAGATCGTCTGCGAAGTCTAGATCATCCAACTGCATCTTAGATGTCCATTGTATCCCGCGCTTCCCTTCAGAAGTTGACGTCTTCATGATCCAGTCGATCACCAGGAGAAAGAGAAAAGGTGAGAGCAAGCAACCTTGCCTGACACCGGTCTTCACTTCGAACGACTTTGTCAACTGTCCTCCATGCACAATTTTGCAGTGTAATCCATCATATGAGTTCTGTATAGTATTGACTATCTTCTGAGGCACGCCGTAGTGTCGAAGAAGTTTCCATAGCGTTGTTCTGTCCACGCTATCAAATGCCTTTTCGTAGTCAATGAAGTTGATATAGATTGATGAATTCCATTCAGTTGACTGTTCCACAATGATCCGTAGAGTTGCGATTTGGTTTGTACACGATCTATCCTTACGGAATCCTGCCTGTTGGTCAGGAAGTTAAGCGTCTACGCAGTCCTTCTTCCTGTTTAACAATACCCTGTTGAAGACTTTTCCTAGTATTGAGAGAAAAGCGATGCCTCTGTAGTTATCACAGTTGTTGAGATCGCCTTTCTTCGGTATTTTGATCAGGAGTCCTTCTTTCCAGTCTTTTGGTACTTGTTCCTCATCCCAAATCTTATCGAAGAGAATGTGGAGTATCTTTACAGTTGCCGCTACGTCTGCTTTTAGTGCCTCTACTGGGATGTTTTCCGGTCCTGCTGCTTTGCCACTCTTGATTTGTCTGATGGCCATGCTGATTTCTTCAATTGTTGGTGGGCCAACATTGATTGGGAGGTCCGTGGGTGCTGCTTCGATGTTGGGTGGGTTCAGTGGAGCTGGTCGATTCAAGAGTTCTTTGAAGTGTTCTACCCACCTGTTTTGTTGCTCCTCAATGTTGGTGATTACCTCGCCTTCCTTGCTTTTCACTGGTCGTTCTGGTTTGCGGCGATTTCCAGAGAGTTTCTTTGTCGTGTCATACAATTGTCTCATGTTTCCTTCTCTTGCAGCCTTTTCCGTCGTCGTTGCTAAATCTTCCACATATTTACGTTTGTCGGTTCTGATGCTCCTCTTTACTTGCTTGTTTGCTTCTGCGTATCCAGCTTGTGCCTTGGCTTTCTCTGCTCTTGTTCGGCTGGTATTGATTGCTGCCTTCTTGTTCCTCCTTTCTTGAATCTTATCCAGTGTATCGACAGTGCTCCATTCCTTGTGATGGTGCTTCTTGTGGCCCAGGACTTCATGACATGTTGAAGTGATTGCCTCTTTGATCCCCTTCCAGTTGCTCTCCACAGTAGTTCCTTCTCCATTGAGTAAATCATGAAAGGCCTGGAACTTGTTGCTGAGGGCTATCTTGAATTTGTTAGTATCCTGAAGAAAGGCCGTATTGAACTTTTGTGATATTGCCCGCCCCATTGTCCAGTGCTTCTTGAGTTTCAATTTCATCTTGGCGACCAGCAATTGATGATCTGATGCTATATCAGCTTCTCTCTTGGTTCTCACGTCCTCTATAGTCCTCCTGAACGTTTTGTTGATGCAAATATGGTCGATTTGGTTTTGTGTGGTGTGATCCGGTGAAGTCCATGTGGTTTTGTGTATGCGTTCATGTATTTAAGTGTATAAAAACGTTTTCAAAAGAAGCACATCAAACCAAGTGCCCTCTGCTCAACTAAATATTGCTAATAATCATAGTACTAGAAAGCGGACATTTTGTTAAGTATTACCGGAACATTAATAATTTTAACTTTTCGTAATTTCACTTAGCTGATCTATAAAGTGGATAAAGCTTCTATTTCTTGGCCACAGAAATCTATTGTCGATGAAACCAGTATGCTCACACTGTTTGTATTTCGAACTATTTTATTTGTTCCTTATTGGAAGGGCATTAAATCTTCACCTTTACTGTTCGAGCATCAACACCTCTTTTCGTGACCATGTTTAAATTTTACACATAAAATATACAGTAAGAACGACTACATAAGATGCTAGTGGTATTAAGCAACTAGTTATTCATTTTCGCAGCTGTTATCCTATTACTCAATGTAATTCAATAATGCTCCTTAAAACATTGCTACCGTAACAATTTTGTTAAACAATCGTCCCAGTGAATATAAACCAAGAACAGTACAAGTTTCTGCGAAATAGTCGCCAACTAATACAATAAAGTCTGATTTCTAATCGTAACTATATACTTCCTAGGGTTATCAGAATAACAAATTTCAGAAGTTTGCTAAAGCTTCCAACCTAAGCTAAATTGAGACTTATCCTTGTTTTAAGGAACGAAGCGTTTCAATAGTGAGAAAGCTGGCGATCGTGAAGTACAGCGAACAATGTTGGAACTTCTCAATCAACTGGATGGTTTCCAACCAAACCATGACATCAAGGTGATTGCGGCTACAAATAGAGTAGATATATTAGACCCAGCGCTGTTACGAAGTGGTAGAGTTGATCGGAAAATAGAATTTCCTGCACCAAACGAAGAAGCACGTGCCCGCATTATGCAGATTCACTCTCGGAAGATGAATGTACAGTAAGTTATCTAATCTATTCTCATCAAAACATCACTTCAGAAAAGATGTCAATTTTGAGGAGCTAGCTCGCTGTACAGATGACTTTAATGGAGCTCAGTGCAAAGCTGTATGTGTGGAAGCAGTAAGTTGTATCCATTATCATTTTTGTCGTATTTGGTGACTGATATCTTAATCTTAGCCTACTTTAGTTGTTTAGTTTCCACTAAAGATTTAGACTAATTAAAGAATTTAAAAGTCGTCCAATTTCGTTATTCAAAAGCTTGCTGATTAAATTGTTTTTATGGTTTGATTCATTTTTAGTTGTGCTCTTTGTCTTAGATAGCTAGTAATATGAAAGCTGCTATATGTGCGTTGTATTTAGCCCAGAGTGTGATCTGTGCAGTGCCGAACAAATCTAAGTTTATTTGACGGTCTCTTGTTTAGACGTTAAACAACATCAAGTCGTAGATTAGATCAGGATAACAAACTTCGGTGAAACAAACTACAGTCAGAATCTCGAATAAACTAGTGAGAGGAATCGGGTAAGTGTGGAGAGCAGTGAAACATACAATATTCAAATGAGTTAAGCCGTAAAAGCATCTGCGACACGATAACATTTTAGATTAGTCTACCTAGTCCCTGTAACTGCCATCTTCAAGCATCACGCGAAAGCTTATAGTGGCATGCACGGATGTGATTGGCTGACCAAAATAATAAGCAGATTTGTACTAGCTGATTTAAGTGGATATACTTTAAAGTAGTTTAAAGGATCGTGGGGCGGCGGCTTATTGGTTAGGGTGTTTAAATTTCGGCCACAAACGTCCAGATTTGGACCTCACCCCACCTACTTCGGTTTAGGCAGCGGGGCAGTATCAGTGTGATTCATTCCCAAGTACCTGATGAATAAGCCAACTCATATTTATTTATGAAAGAAAAAAACGTAAGAAGGGATTAAATAGGTAAAATCGGAGTAACAGCCTAATCCATTTTCATATGGTAGTCAGTCGTAATTCAGTAATAAGTAAAGTAAATGGGGGCTTCCTATCAAACTACTGAGTAGATGTGAAATGTTTATTTTACTAGTTGCAGTGTCAAGAAATTCCTGGGAGTTACAATTGCTGTAAAATTAGGTGAAGAAGCTTTCAGATTAAAGTTGTCTAATCGTAGGTCCCATGAGAAAAAGCCAACTGAGTAAATAGAATATTGCAACTAATTAACAGAATTTAAGATTCCAAAGCAAGCAGTTGCGTACGCACCACTAATTGTCTAAATGATTAATTATCGAGAGTCTTGAGCCATTAACTCTTTACCATCTTACAAAACCTAATTTTTCTTTATGCCTTAGTCTGGAGATTATATATACACCTAACGATCTGCCTTTATTTTAGCTGGAAATCCTTATAACGATCTGCAAAATGCTAGTAACTCGTCAGTATATTTTAACTCTGACTGGCTCAAGTCTACTCATCGGTTTATAGACACTCAGGCTAACCTTTTACAAGATATTTGCATGTCGCTGAGATGAGTTAGTCATTGCTTATATTCTGAAATTGTTCTTATTTTTTCAGGGTATGATTGCGTTGCGTCGAAGTGCGTCAGAAGTAACACATGAAGATTACATGGATGCCATTTTGGAAGTTCAAGCTAAGAAGCGCACTAATCTAAATTACTATGCCTAACTACCATTAGATTATTGACAGCGTGCTTTTTTATATTAAAATCACAGATGGTTTTAAAGTATACTGACTGGTGTACCGTCATCACAGTACTTTGTGTTACGAGCAGCTGTTCGTGATCCTCCGTTATTTGTTAAAATATACCTTGTATTTATTTCACTTCAGGACGATATGGTGTTCTATTTATCAACCTCATTGATGCTGTTCAATTGTTTTTCTTTGTTTTATCATCACTTAGTGTGATAACTAATTTGTTTTTCCCTTTATGATGTCAACGCCATCGTCTTGTCTTTACGTATTCTTAGGACAGTAATTTTAACTGATTTGGAGTTGTGCCATCATGTTTTAGATCGAACCAGATGCTCGTACGCGTTCTAACTACTTCGTTAACCTAGTAGTATAACTAATTGTTACGCAGCGATGTATCGAGTTAAGGTTCCCAATGACACCTTTAATCAAGCAGTTAAATATCCTAAAACGATTAAAATATGACAAAAGGTGTGACTTATATTTCAATTCACTGTTATATGAAGCACTCATGAATATATTGGTGTTTACATATAACATAGCAGAAACATTCATGGGTTCACAATTGTCTGCTAAAATTAAGGACTTAAATTCGAGTTACATGCAAAACGAAAGGCATTCAGTTTATTGGTAAAATAAGTTCTAGCATAAAACTGTTTTGAAGCATCTTTCTTCTAAGTAAATGTAAAATACATATATTCACAGAAAAATCTTACTGTTTAGCAGTCTCGTTTGATATTTTGGAGATTTCGGAGACCCTTAAAACAATGTTAGAAATAACCAGATAACTTACTTCTAGAAACAACTTTATCTGAGCTTTTATAGAATTAGCTCTTTTCTTGTACATATCGGCACGGCCGTTCAGGATAGAGATGCGCGAATCAATGATATTTAAGGCTTCAGCATGACTGCACTCAAGATAAAATCCTAGGCCAATGTCAACTGCAATAGGTTCAACAGAATAACTATACATTAAATAATGTTATGCTCTTACATCAATCCATTTACATAAATATTGCTTCCGACATTTACTTTGGTTTTTAAGTTATTTTGAGGGACATCGATATCCTTCATTTTTTCAATAAGATTTTTTAGTTCCAAATATTCCGAAATTTGACCATACACTAAGTCCCCAGCATCTAAAGTTTTTCTGGATTTTAGATATGTTTAAAGAACACCCAAGATACTTGAGGTCCGTTTTCAAAGTCTCATTAACGTGCTCTTCCAGTTTTAGTATCCTTTGGTCCATTCTTCATGAGAGTCCCCCAAGGATCGGATTAATGGTAGCTAGGTGATAATTAAGTTTTATAAGGACCAAAGAACTACATTGGATGGTTTGGGAGGTATCACATAAAATTTAGAGCAAAACAATAATTGTGACGTGGATGAATCAAAAAAATTCAGATACTAGTTTATGTCCACCATGCGATTACCTTTGTCGCCTTTGATTTACTCTTGCTATCCTTCAATTAAAAAACGTACGAATTGACAATAAAAACGATACTGAAAGTACTTTATTTCATCTAATGAGTGTTGCGATAATCGAGTGACACCTGAAGTATCAGAGGATGATGGAGTGTACAGATCAGTCGTGATAATTTTGTGATTTTCTTAAACAAACTTGTAGATTTTCATGATAACTAAATATGTTGTTATTGCTAAAAATTCTTGAACAACACACGTATAATAAGTTCTTTTCGATGTTTTAAAAGTTTTAATCTTTTATTTCTGACTCCGATACCTAGTAGTACTACAGATATAGTGTCCTTAATCTTTATCCATGCCAATCATGAGTTTTTTAAAATCCAGGTAGTCATCTAAAACAGAATAGGCAGCAAAAATAGCCTAGCTTACTCAGCAATATACCTTAAGAGAACTTTTAAGGGCCATATCGTTAACACTTGAGTGTTAATTATTTCAAACGAACAAGTAAAAATGCTCAATATTGGTGACCATGAATGAAACCACACACAAATAAAAAGTGTTTTGAGACCATTACAAAAATGATGGACATTTATGCAATGCAGATAGGTGGACAAGGAAATACCAAAATCTCCAGACGCCTTGTAACGCGACAGTTGGAAAGTTGCCCAATACTCAATATCCTTGTCACGACCTTGCATTGAGCGACTGACTTCGAAATAGCTTTTTCTCTCAATGTCCTTCTAGGTGTTTCTTTATGTTCAGAACAATAAGATATCACTAGTGTAAACGCGGTTTGTAGCAGTTTTACAAGAGTTACTACCAACTACCGCGCTAGTTTCAAAAAGGGCAGTGATTTTTGTACTTGTTGTGTTTATACTTGCTTTTGGTACTTATTGCACTAAAAAGCATTCTTGGTCTAATTTAACTAAGAGTTCTTTGATTAAAGTTTGAAATTTCTTGCTGAATTTTGTCCTGAGTACCTGTTTTTAGTTCTTGACTAACACTTGTGTTCACATTGTTATCACTTTTTGTTTTTAAACCTTTTAAATCGAATTACAGTGGTTGGTAAGACTCACAAATGTGGGCAACCAAATTGTTTGTTCTCCATTGAGGAGGGAATGCAGTGTGACGACTGTAAATGTGGTATCAAAAAATGTGTACACGACTAAGTCCGACGGCTTACAAAAGATGCTCGAAGCCTAACTCGCATTGGCTTTGTATGTTCTGCTGTACGGATAAAAAGGTACTAACACAGGAGGCTATGGGCCTATTGGCTTTGGCCTGCAAGAAAAACGATGGCGGAAGCACTGATAACAGGAGCACTGACGATGAAGAATGTGTCAGTGCTGCTACTAGACCCATTAAACACCTGACTGCGGTTGACGAGAACGTGAAATCTCCGTTGACATTAACGAGAAATGAAGTGTCGCTTGATAATGACATCGGCAGTCATACACCTCTAGTCGAAATAGAAGATCAGGATAAAACTATCACCGTTCCGCATAGTCCAGGTGTGGCTGTTCTGAGTGGTGACAAATAGACTTTGGTAACAAGAAAAAATATAAGAAAAAGGCTGTAGGCAAAACGCAGCTGTCAGCAAGACATTGGAAGGGATGTTATCAGAAGAAAGATCCTCACCGCGTAAAAAGACAGATCTCTCTGATAGATCAGTCATTTTTCATAATATAAGAGAATCTTCAGATACTGATCCAAAGGCAAGATTTGAACATGATCTCAATCATATTAAGACATCATTAAGTAAACTACCCCCAGATACAGTTTCAGGAGTTAGTATTTGTAAGCTTTATAGAATAGGAAAAAAGGTGGATTCCGAAAGTCCTCCGAAAACCGCCTCCTAAAGGTTACATTCAACACGGTGGAAGAAGGGAACCTGATTCTAAGTAATTCACGTAAACTGATTGGATCCGGAATATATGTCCTTGAGGACCTCAGCCTAGCTGATCGTATTAAGAGAAGAGCTGCAGAAGCGGAAATAAACGAGCGTCGCCGAAACGGTGAAAGAAACCTCGTTCTTAAGGGTTTTCAGACTGTAAAAGTTCGGAGCAAAACGATCCCCAAGCCACTCTGGGTGGCAAGGGAAAGCTCTCCACAGACCTAAAAGTGTGCTACACAAATGCTCGCAGCCTACTAAATAAAATGGCGGAGCTGAAGTCAGTAGTGGATAAAGAAAAACCGGACGTTATCGCTGTCTCGGAAACTTGGTTAACGTCAGAAGTATTAGATAGTGAAATCCAATTGACTGGTTTCATAACCAGTAGGGCTGATAGATTAAACCGAAGGGGAGGCGGGGTTATTGTGTACACGAAAAGTACCCTAACCACAAGATTAGCTGAGACAGTAGCACATATTTCAGGGACATAATAATAATAATATATTTCTGCATGTGCAGGTACACACCGTTTTTACAGGCATGATCTATAAATTACAACATTTGTTGGTTCGCAAAATGCTTCCCAACTTATTAAGTTTATAGTGGTGCACATGGGCTCCAGCATCCTGCGGGAACAAATGGCGTATGAACCAATCGTTGGTCACCGACTACCATGGGACTGCATCTCCTCACGATGCTCCACTGCCTTGTGGGTTAGACCTTTAGGTCAAAGGTTCGGGGTGTGGCCCCCTAAGATAACCACCTGCTTCGGTTTGAGCACCCGGGCAGTATCACAGCCCACACACAAATGATGAACTCTTTATGTCTATGGAAATTATTTTTCTCGCTTCGAAAAACAATCAATTGATACAAATTATTATCATTACAATTATTGTCATTATTAATACTATTATTATTACCATTATTGTCATTATTATTATTATTATTTTCCACATTATTCACTCTCTTTTATACTTATACAGCGGCTCGTCTTTGGTGGAAATCCGACTGTATCTAAACGTTCTCGAGTCACTGTCCGGTTGAAAATTGTATGTCACCACCGAATACGAGAACTGAAGCAGTTTTTCTGAAACCACGTGCACCATTCAAACTGGCTGCCTTCAACGTTCGCACACTTATGCAGGTCGGACAACAGATAGGGCTGGCTATGTCTTTGGAAAGTCTTAATATTGGTGTTTGTTGTCTATCTGAGACCCGTATTCAAGACTAGTGAAGTACTACAAATTCGCTCTACATCTGTCGCTTCGAAAAGCTTGTTTTACGTGCGCTTATCCGGGGACCCCGTGGCATCTTTGTCTGGTGTTGCTGGCGTTGGTGTCGCACTAAGCGCTAGAGCTGAGGCAGCACTAGTCGATTGGATCCCCATTAACAGTCGGTTATGTGCTGTTAGATTAGAAAGTTCCATCAAAGTGAGAAGAAATCGGCATGAGAAACGATGTCTTTTCGTCATCTCCGCCTATGCCCCGACAGATTGCAGCCCGGATGCAATCAAGGATGAGTTTTACCACCAGTTACCTGTTCTTCTCCAGAAAGTGCGTTCGACAGATATTGTAGTACTAGCCGGAGACTTGAATGCTCAGGTTGGGCGTCTAGGCACAGAAGAGAGTCGTTTATGTGGCCGATGGGGACTCGTTGGTCGCAGGTCAGATAACGGGGACCGTCTGCTGCAACTTTGCACAGACCACAACCTGTTTCTAGCTAGCACTAACTTTCGGCACAGTCATCGCCGATGTGCCACCTGGCGTCCTCCGTCTGCATCCCAAGCCTGGACTCAGATTGATCACATCGCGATCAGCTACCGCTGGCGTGGTTGTGTACAAGACTGCCGCTCCTTTTGGAGTACCTATCTGGACTCTGACCATGCCTTGGTCTGCGCCAATCTTGCCAACGGAGTGACCACCACCAAAAGATTGATGTTAGCAAGCTAGTTGCAACTTCTGTTGCAAGTAAGTATCGAACCGAGCTAGCCTCTAGGCTAGCTACCACTCCACCGAAAAGTATAGATGAGCATTGGTTGCAATTGCATGACGCCATGAAAATGGCAGGAACAGTCAGTTGTGGGTTCGCGAAACGTCCCGCTTTTAAGCACTGGGTTTCTCCAGGTTCCTTACAACTCATTGAAGCCCGTCGGTCTACTCCGGGTGACCGTGAGTTTGACCATAAACGAAGGATATTACGTAAGGAAATTGGACAAAGCTTGCGTAAGGACCGAGAAGCCTGGTGGTCGATGCGTGCTAATGAGCTGGAAGCAGCAGCTGCATCTGGTAATTACCGGAAGCTCTTCCAGCTCATCCGAGCCACTGGCAGCAAGAAGTCTGGTGTGAGTGAAACAATCTGCGAGGATGATGGGATGTCAATCACTAACATCCATCGACGTCTTGGACGGTGGGCAGAATTTTTCGAAGGGCAGTTCAACTGGCCTGCTGCTCCGGCAACATCGGTCAGACTGTCCTGCCCTCCATGGCCGGTGACGACTGATCCACCAAATGAGGAGGAAGTCCGCAAGGAACTCCAACTCTTGAAGCGTTACAAATCACCTGGCCCAGATGACTTACCTCTGGCTCTTTTTAAAGATGGTGGTGACTTTTTGACTAAGGAGTTGACGACGTTGTTCACAAAGGTTTGGGAACTAGAGAGTGTACCAACGTCATGGAATGAGTCGATAGTTGTCCCTATCTTTAAAAAGGGTTCACGTCGTTCCTGTAACAACTACCGGGGGTTAAGTTTACTTCCGGTTGCGTCCAAGCTATTGGCTTCCGTCATTCTTCGTAGGTTGTTCAAAACCCGAGAAAGATTGACTCGCGAGGAGCAGGCTGGGTTTCGTTCTAGTAGAGGATGTATTGATCATATCTTCACCCTCCGCCAAATGTTAGAACACCGTCATACTTATAAAGGCCAACAATCGTAGTGTTTCTTGACATCAGGGCTGCCTTCAATTCGTTGGGCAGGACTGTTCTCTGGGATTGTCTATTGAAGAAGGGTGTGCCTGAGAAGTTTATTAACATCCTAAAAGCCCTATATAAAAACACCTCAGGCAGAGTGAGGGCATACAACCACCTTTCTCCATTGTTCCATTCGAGTAGTGGGGTTAGGCAGGGTTGCCCAATCCCACCATTCCTCTTCAACTTTGCCATCGATGACATTCTGGAAACAGCTCTGATGAATGTAAGTAATGGTGGTGTGGATCTGTTGCCTGGAGAAAGACTTCTCGACCTTGAGTATGCGGACGATATTGTCTTACTGTGCGATAATGCCCAAGGCATGCAATCCGCACTTAATCAGTTGGCAATCAGTGTCCGTAGGTATGGTATGTGCTTTGTACCTTCGAAGTGCAAAGTACTTCTACAAGACTGGTAGGATTCCAATCCTGTACTCACCCTGGATGGTGAGCAGATGGAAGTAGTTGAGAAGTTCGTGTATCTGGGTAGCTGCATAAGTGCTGGTGGGGGTGTGAGTGATGAGATCAATGCACGTATAGTGAAAGCCAGAGCGGCTTATGCCAATCTGGGCCACGTTTGGCGCCTTCATGATGTTAGTCTGGCTGTAAAAGGTCGGATCTACAACGCGTCGGTGAGGGCAGTTTTGCTCTATGCTTGTGAAACCTGGCCTCTCCGAGTTGAGGACGTTAGACGACTCTCTGTGTTCGATCATCGCTGTCTCCGAAGGATTGCTGACATTCAGTGGCAACACCATGTCAGTAATGCAGAGGTTCGTCATCGTGTGTTCGGGCACAGAGATGATAATTCAATTGGTGTCACCATCTTGAAACA